AATTTTATGTATTAATTAAATTTCACATATGAATATAGGTTTTTGACATTTTCGACATTTTTGACAGTGAGGTTTTTGACGTGACGGTTTAAACCATGGTTTAAACTGTCAAAAACTGTCACGTGTCAAAAACCTGCCAACCCTGATTTATAATAGCTAATAGTTATCCTTAGTCCAAAATTTTGGGTTTTTGACAATTTTCAAAAATTATCTTAAAAGTTTTTTTTTTTTTGACATGATGGTTAAAAAACCGTTAAGTGTCAAAAATTTGCCAGACCCTGCCTAATTATGATATATTCTTTTTTAAGTGCTTAAAAATACTTTTTGAGTGCTTTAAGAGTGCTTAATAGGTACTTATTTTTTGTTGAAAAATTTGGCTACGCACCTTGTTTCTAGATTGAATAATAGTTCCTTAATTATTTTATTAATGTAAGCATTTTTCTCGAATAATTTAGAACTTTAAAATTAGAGCCTGGTTGCCTTTTTTTTCTAAAATAGAAAATTAAACATTAATAATAATAATGTAATTTTAAGGCGTTGCAATTTAAAACATTTTCGTCAGATAGTCAACGCACTTGATAGTAGGAATTGTAGTTAGTATCATGTTAAACCTATGCTTTGTAACTATTTTATATCTTTTTAAGTGTTTTTTTTTCTTCCTTAACACGTTTATTGCCACGGATGTCACCAGTGACCGGCGAAGCCAAGATTATTAGAAACACATAATTCGAGTAAATTTTTAATGCTTTTAATTTTTTTAATATTATTATCGTTAATAAAATAGTTTGAAGAAATAAATGCAATACATACTGAGAAAATCATTTTTGCCAGACGGGCAAGCCATGTAAAATTAGCGTGGCATCAACGTGTTAACCTTTGTTTGCCATGCTTTTCCAATGTTACTAAGTTTTAAATTTTAGTGTTTTTGTGAGTTTAGTGTTTTTAACTGACTGACTCTATAAATTGACTGCTTACTAATACCGATTTTATTTTGCTTTTTAAATATAAAAATTTAGAAATGAGATTTATTGTCGAAAAAAAAAAAGATCGAATTTACTGTTCAGCTAATCTTGGCGCTCCTAATGCTTTTGATTTTCCTCCATTTCCTGTAGAAGTACAAAACAGCTATCTACTAGGGCAGGGGTTTCCAACTTACATGAGGCCGGGGGCCGCAATTAAAAACACCAGTCAAATGGCGGGCCGCAACTATATCAAAATGTTATATAGTACTCTTTTATGTTTGAAGGCACATTAAATATAGAAAATTTCTGATACTCACATGCTAAATTTAAATTATATTCACAAAATGCAAAGAAAAAAACGAAATAAAAAAGGACAACATACATGATTATTTTTGTATTTGAATAAATATTTTCTTGGATGCAAAACCTGTGACCGAAAAATCTTTTGCACCGTTAGTATGTTAAATTTCACAGAAACGAAGATTTTTTTTTTTTTTACGAAAGAAAAGTATTTAAACTCTTATAGATTTTCTACGAAAATTGTCCGCAAAAAAATGACAACTAATATATTTTAGTTCACGTGCCACAAAAAAACATTCGTCGGCGGATGCGGCCCGCAATCTCCCAGTTGGTAACCACTGTGCTAGAGAAAGAGTAAATCATCTCAATTATCACATGGCGCATTTTTGTCTCCTCCAAAATCGCTGATAGCACGTGACAGGGGGCCATGTGATCCTTGGGATCGAAGAGAGATGGGGAAATAAAAGAACATGCTGGCTGCTAAGGTGTAAAACCTATAGTAGAGAAAAATTACCGCGCTAATTAAAGTACAAATTGCCTTTGTATCAAAAAATACGAATGTTATATTCTAATTTAGACGAGGCTAGTGTTTTTGTGGAATCCGCACTCTTATGTGCGTGATCATATTCATCATTTTTCTCTTATATAAGTAGTGCCGTTAAGTCTACCTTTTACAAGCTTTACTTTAATAAAGTAATAGTTGAAGGAGCTATAAAACTTGATCGATCTCTCTCCCATTTTTTATTGACTTATTCTGAATAGATACTTTATGCTTAAAACAGCTCTCCAAGCATGATCGATGACTCAATGCCTTTCTTTATGACCTTCCATAACATCTTTCCGTTATTCTCTCTCAACTTGTATTATATCTGTACTACTAGCTAAATGCCTTGTTCATACAATTTTCAATGTATTAAATTTTTTTTTGGTGTAAACCGAGTTTACACAAAAAAAAAAAAAATTAACTTTACACTTTAAAAAAATTTACCTTACTTCAATTTTATTATCATTTGGCATTTTATCCGGTGATTTTAAATTGTTTGATTTAGAAAAATATCTTTTTAGAAATTCAAATAAAAAACTTACTTAAGAATTATATACAGGGTGTCCCGAAACGACCGCATAAACTCTGCGCAGCTAGATTCCTCGTTGGGAGTACATAAAAACTGCCCGAAGAAGCGTTCCTGTACGATTCATAGTTTACGAGAAAAATTCGAGAAACAAAGTATGACGTCACAGCCGGTGCAAGGGGAAAAAAAACATTTTATTGGACATATCAGCAACAGTATTTGAATATCTTTTCAGACGATAATGTTTAAAACGGGCACTTTGAACATCTGATTTAAATTGTGCATTGTATACTGCTGTTGCAATAAAGTGTTTTTTCTTGCACCTGCAGTGACGTCATACTTTGTTTCTCGTATTTTTCTCGTAAACTATGGATCGAACAGGAACGCTTCCTTGGGCAGTTTTTATGTACTCCCAGCGAGGAATCTAGCGGTGCAGAGTTTATACGGTCGTTTCGGGACACCCTGTATTTATTATATTGGTGCTTTAGTACTAAGTTCCTCCACTTTTTTATCTTCGCAGAACGGCCAACGTTTGATAATTTTACCGCTGGAGGTGGGGTAGGTGGAAGGTGTATTTTAGATTGCTTTGATTTCATAATTTTAATTTAATTGTATTTAAACATGCCCTCAAAATGAAATACAATTGGCTGCGCGGTATTGGTGCGGATTTAGGTAACGTATTTATTAAAAATAATAAAAATTTATAATTTTTTACTAAAAGTTATTTTTTGAATGGAATTATCTTTGAAAAACGAATTTTATAATTGTGTGCAAAAATGTTTCAATTTGCTGAAAAAGTTTTCGATGTATGGTGAAATACGCAAAAAGTAGAATTAGCATTAAGAGGTCCAAAATGTGGGTTGCTCTACTGACCAAATTATATGCTACTTAACGGTATGTACAGTATTCAAATAAACGCTAGATTTGATCTACCTTTATGTTTTTTTTTACAGCTTTATAAGCGAGATCGAACCTGAATGCTTTACTTTGCTACTTTTTAGGATATAATACGTCTTTTCTTTCGTTCCCAAAATTAATTTTGTTATTCTTAAAAATAAATTATAAGCCAAGTTCCCCCTTCCCTCATCTGCATGAAATTGTAAAACCGTGTTTTGTGATTACTTAGCTGTTTTTTTTAAATATTTTTTTAAATTTTTTTTTAGCCGAATGTACAGAATTTAGCATGCTAATTTTGATCACCCAAATACTATCTACAACGGAAGATAGTACCTAATAACGGCTTTGTAAGCTTGATCGAAACTAAATCTTTATTTTACGACTTATCGTCTTGTGTTACATTTTCCCCCTCCAGTTTCCTTAAGCTTGTTACACTTATTTATTAGTTAATTACCTTAAGACATAAGCTTTTTTCGTGGATTTGTCTTCTTAAGTTGAGGGTCGATTACATGCTTAACTTTTTATGTTAGCTTCTTACGTTATTATTTTTATCTTCTGGCTGTTATTATTCTGTACAATTATAAGGTGTTCTTCAGTTTATTATGTCTATTTATGTTAACACTAGAAAGACTGAAGTACCTATATTGCCCAAAAGCAGTCAAAATGAAGTCTGCATTGTGAAAGAATAACTAATATATTTAAAAAAAATTTTAAAATTAAATTTTAATATTTTTGGTATTATTTTCTGTTTAATAACAAGTTATAAGTAAATATCAACAATAAAAATATTTATAAAAGTCACAAAATTCTAAGAAATTGTGTCATTGAAATTAAAAAGTTTTCTAATTGAAATTAAAATGCAGTCAAAATGACTTCCTTGGGCAATCTAGTGTTAATGCTGTTTTTCGACGTTTCTGTCACCAAGTATCTGTGAGTTAGCAACAGTTACTTATAACTGTCAGTTCAAATTTAGCATATTTTTGACCAGCCCCCTTTACACTATTTTTTTTTCCTTTGTTTAATTATTAAAAAATTACTCCCACTCTGCATTATCTGGGCTCATTGCAAAAATTGAGAATTGGATACCTAAAAGTGACATCATAGGTAAATCTTGGCATTCGTTGATTCAAAAGCCAATCAGATTCGACACACGCTCGTGACGTCGCTTACGAGTATCCAATTAAATCACTTAGTTAGATATGATCACTTCACTTCTAGAGTTGCAAGTACCCAATTACTCATTGATTTTTGATAATTTTCACCTAGATGGGAAAATTCCTCAATTATTAAAAACATTTAATAATTTTATTTGAACACGTTGAATGCCACGCTAATTTTACATGGCTTGCCCGTCTGGCCAAAATGATTTTCTCAGTATGTATTGCATTAATTTCTTCAAACCATTTTAGTAACGATAATAATATAAAGAAATTAAAAGCATTTAAAATTTAAAAGAATTATGTGTTTCTATTAATCTTGGCTTCGCCGATCACCGGTGACCCCCGTGGCGCTACGAACAAACTCAGTGCCGGTCACCGGTGACCCTCATGGCATTCAGCGTGTTTAAAGTTTTTTGTCCGTTCTAAAGCCTATTTGATTCTTAACGACAAGATGGTAAATTTAGTTTAAAATTTAGCCTTACCTCAAATGTAAATTACTTAAACTTTTGTTTGTTTATCTATTTTTATTTCATCTTTCTTGGCGAATGACTTTTGAAAAACCATGTTAATGTCTTACTCTGGCGGTAATTGTGAAAATTTTGTTGCTGTAGATTGACCAATGCTGAATGTAAGTGAAGAAGAAGATTGGAAAGTTGGCGAGTGATGCATTTGCACACCTTCACGCATCCTGATGGCAAAGACAAATGCTGTTGCCTATGTAGAAAGGACATAAGACAACCCTTCAATGTTTCCAGGCCGTGGCTCTACACGTCCTTGCGCGGATCTGAACTCGTCAATAGAATGCCTTTTGAGAGTGCCGTCTGCCAAGATGTGGTGAGTACTGAAAAACAATTGCTTCTATTGCCAGTTTTACAAGAGATCAACGACTCTAATCTAAACTCAAAAAATCCTGTTAGTGCTGAGAAATTACCTAAAAATCTATTGAACTACATGAAATAAACTTGATAACTTACGAGCCACTGACAACAATCAGTTAAAACTTGACGTCTAAATGCAAGGTATTTTGGATTTTTTTTGTAAATGCACTCTTATTGCACAATTTACTGTGAAAATGTCAAAGCACTTCGTTTCTTTATAGGTATATATTGATCATGAATTCCGCACCATTTATTCTCTTAATCCATTTGACTAATTTTTAAAACAGTTAACGCAAGTAATCTCAAAAGATTCTTTACTTTTAACGAGTTATGCAGAATTTTGCACTTTGTCTCGATCATATATTTCTATTGTATAAACATGTTCATGAACTAGTTCTAAATATCTGCAAAAATGTTAAAACTCGATAGTTTTGGATTTATTTTTTATTTCATACAGCACAGTAATAGGAACCCGGAGTCGAAAAATTTTCGATGCCCAACTCCGTTCCAAGATAATAAGCTAGGCTGAAGCTCCACTTAGGTTCTGGCAGTTTTAATGTATGTTTATGCGTGTTTCTGAGTTTTAGATTTCAATTTGAAATTTTTATTACTATAAGAAACAAAAAAAAAAAAAAATAACATAATCATCAGCTCACACAGAAAATACAAAGATTCATTCACATTTGAGTTATTTGTCCATTTTTAAGAAAAATTTTGACTCTATTAAATCCACCTTCATATTTGATCTCAAATGATTATAAATGTATCTAAATGCCGAGAATAGTCTTTCTACGGCAACTTAGCAATTGGCAATACCGTTCCATTGCAGCATACCTCTTAAATTTCTGTTTGATACAATGAAATTGCTGGAGCACGGGAAAGTGTAAATCCCCAGCTCCGGGTCTCTGCACAATAATTCCTACCTTGTATTTTTGAATGAGGAAGTCTGTTTAACTGTACACAGTACTTATATTTTTCGGGAATAGGTAGAAAGTTGGGCACCATCTCTTAACAGATCCAGTTTACAATCCAGTTTTTTTTTTTAAAATATCTGGAATATTATGGTTGTTTTGACTCTAGAAAAATATTTATGTAACAACAGTTGATCATATCTTTTTGGTTGTCACTCTCACTGACGCGTGCATTATGACTTGACAGCTTTGTTCCAAAAACTTCCACTTCTTAAACATTTCAGAATATTCTGAAGTACACATTGAGATTTATCTGCCGCTGCGATCTACTTTTTCGAATTAATATTTTTCTTACTTTTTATTTATAAAAGAAATGTTAGTAATTATGTCCATAAGCTCTTTAATAAATTTTTCTGTTACTTAGATGAACTTAAACTATGAACATCTAGGTAATGAAACTTAATGGCATTGAACTGATTTTTATTTGATGATAAGTTGTGTTTTTCAGATTAATAAAATATGTATTATCTAATTTGTTAATCTTTTTTTATCCTCATTATATTCGAAAATGCAAATGGGATGCGATGCGCAGTCGTTCTACGTTTTGTGTTGTGATATCAGTATAAGCGAGTATGAATCACTGTGCTGTAAATCATTGCGCTCTATTTTTCTGTAAACTGATAAATGCATGCAGAGCTTTAATATAGTTGGATGTTTCGAAAATTGGTTTTTGTCGCAATACTATTTTACTTAATGTTATTTTTTATATTGCTACATCATTTACGCGAATACTAATCTTCAGTAAAAATTCTGAGCTGTAAATTAGTATGCTGTATTCTTTATGAACTGATTGTTTGCGTTATAGAGGTGTATATGATGAGTCGTAATGTTAGTGTAGTATTATCGGAAAAATTATTTGATGCTTCGTCTTAATAACAACGTTACCCTTTGTGTTGATATGCATCAAAATCATGACGTAAAATTTTTGAGCTGTAAGTACTAATTTTTGTGAACTTATTATTACATAACTATGCGACTAGTCATAATATAGTTTCATTTGCTAACGAATAAAAATTTACTTTCATGAAAGCGACGTCTTTAAAAAAAAAAAAACAATATTGATTTCAGTTTAATTTAATTATATGATTTTGTTAGTAGGTTACAAAGCTAATTCTTGGTTATTCTATTTATTCGCTTAATCATAATAGAACCTTACCAAAAATCCAATCCTTTGCTTCGTTTCTACATTAATCGCGGAAGAGGTTGACAAGTTTCGTTCTAAGAAAGCTTTATATTGTGAATATTTAAGTAACTTAGGTAAACAATACAATCTGAACGGAAATATATATTATATGAAGATTTGGCTAGATAAGCTTTTACACGGAAAATAGAATAGCCTTTTGTTCTCCCCATTTTTTTTATTATTATTTATTTATTTAGTTAAGTAATCGCCAATCTGCATTTCTAATTTTCAGACCCTTCCGCGCGGAAAAGATTCGGTAACTCTTCCGGGCTAAGCAGTTGTAATCTGCTTCACGCTGTTAGCTTTTGTCCTTGGACGTGAAGTGCGGTGAAAAATAAAAATGAAGTCCAGATACTTCTTGCCCAACGACGAATTGCCATGCTGTGATGAAGTGAATAAAAAGAGGCTATATATTTCTATCGACCTTGAGATTGAGCTGGGGAATGAAGGGAAAAAAAAGTATCCAGGAAATGCTGGCTGATGAGTGTGACTGTTATTTTCAGCTATTATCGGAGCTGCGCTTGCGCAATTTAGGACACACCTTCGTGGGCGGAGTTGTATCTAATATAACTTGAGGCTAACCCCGTGTAGTATTAGGAAGTCAATTAAGTTTAGTTATTACAAGTTAAATTCTAATTAGAACAAGAAGTCGGGTAGAATTTTTTAAATCTAAACATTTCATTAAAAGGTTTGGTTATTTATTATGTACATGTAATATAATTTGTTCCAGTGACTTTTTTAGGGTAACTGAAAAAGTGCTATGAAAATAGTTAAAATTACATTCCATTAAAAAAAAAAGAAAAGTTAGCTTTGTTTCATCAAATATTCTGTAGACTCTGTTTCACGAAGTTTTAAGATGAAAAATTGCAATAAAAAAATTCCTTAAAAGAAAAATAAAGAGTATTCTGCTAACTTCAATTGTTTTTTTTAAACAGAATAATGCTACAATTGGCTGTAAAATTTTGTACATCTTTTAAGGATTATTTTTGTTAAACAGTTTGTTGTCTTCTAATGCATTCGTAAAAGTTTCTTTTCAGAAAATTATTTAAATTTTATTAGCTGTCAAAGTTTGTTGATCAAAAAGTTAATTGTAAAATTGTTGTCTTTAAATGTTATAGGTAGGCAAGCTAGCATTCTTTTATATTTTCTGTTAGAAAATACTATTAGCTTTCCACTATCGTTCACCTGGTAGATAATTGTTATTAAATAATTTGTTAGTTAAATAATTGTTATTAAATAATTTGTATAATTCAACAAAACAAGTTTAAAAAGGAAAAGTAAAAAACGGTTTCAAAATTCGCGATTTACTATCAAATAATTATAATGTAATATGCATATCATTGTGACACATTACTTTTAACTATATAAGTAAGTTTAAATAGAAAAATTAAAAAACAAATAAAATTTCTCAAACTTTTTTATAAACGAGTTAAAGAACAATAGTTTGTAAACTGTACAAAATTGAAAAACTAATTTTAATATATTTCTATCAAAGAAAATAAAAATTAACGCAGTTTTTTCCTATGCTTATAACAACTAAACGTCAAGAGTCTTAAAAAAAGTTGCATTATATGAGATTTTCTTAACCCTTTGACGCAGAATTTTATCAAACATAATTTTCATACTTTTTTCATTATTCCGTAATAATTTAGGTTAAAATAAGTGAAAAGTATTGTATTTAGCATTTTAATAATTTATGGTTATGAAATATAGTAGGAAAACACCTGTGTCTTTTTCTGCGTTTAAGGTAAAATCTTCTAAACACGGCTGGCTCACTTCCAAACTTTTCTAAATTGCACTTATTTGCAGTTATTTAAATCTAAGAGAAACGGTTATTCATCATTGAAATTACGTTACAAAATCTATTAGTGATACATTTTTAAGTATAAATGAAAAAGAAAATATATTTTTCAAACTACTTTTTTTTTTTAGAATTTATAGTTTAGTACAAATATAATTTCGATAATCTAAAAGATTTTTTTAGTTGCTATAGACTGTTTTTTTTTTATAGTTAAAAAATGCCAAAATATATTTTTGCTTGTTATTAGACATTAGGGCGCCAGAACGAAAATATATAAATGGGAATATAAAATACAGGGTGCGTAGCGTTTTTAAAAAGTGCTTAAAGGTGCTTATTTTCGTTTTTTAAAAGCCCTTAAGGTGCTTTTTTCATTGGGTGTTTTTAAAAAGTGCTAAATTTTTCCCTCTTTCAAAATGAGATTTTTCCTTTACTATGTTGATTTTCGCTTCGAATTATGCAAAAAGACACAGTTCACATTGTTCTATTCAACGTTTTCACAATTAATTCAACCCCAATCTATTTCGGCGTATTGTCAGTCCATAGCGTATGAAAACGCCATTCGTTATACATGATTCAAAATTTTATGATTTTTGACAATTGTCAAAAACAATGCCAAAAGTGCTTAAAAGGTGCTTATTTTTTGTTGAATAATTTGGTTACGCACCCTGAAATAAATAAAGGAAAATATATAAAGGATCCCATCTGCCAGGGGGAAAGGATTAAAAGAAATAAATACGAACTCTTATATTAGAATGGCATCACCCCTTCAATAAAAAAAGACCTGCCAATGCAAGAAGCGTGTGAGAAAGAAGAAAATGTTCGATCACTTCCGTGTATTGTAGCACCTGTTCACCTGCCTAATGCAATTACTTGGGATTAAGGGGAAACCAGTAAGAGAAGAGTGAGGATAAGAATTAGAACAGCGTTCATTAATTGCGATGCTTGTGTGCAGGAGTGCTCAAAGGGTGAAATGACCCGCATATATTCTTTCCTTTTGCATC